GGAAAAAATGATATTGCAAAACCATTAACAAATAGTTCACGCATTCGGCTGACGTGCACCAGCCGAATGCGTGAACTATTTAAATTCGTCTCCTGAAGAAAATATCTAGCTCCAAGGTCTCTGTATCTGTCTCACAAAACACTTACATTACACATCATGATTTGATTATATTATTGCTGCACTCGGTCTGCACCCCTTCCTCTTGTTAACATACACATTTTGACTATAATACTGACAAATGAGCAAAATAGAGCTGGGCATGCCTCCTCTGGGTCGTTGGCATGGATTTTGCATGCACCCCGTGCATCATCGAGTTCCCCGATTGTCCACAGGATATCTTGTTACAAGCACAGGTTCAGCTCAAGTAGCCCTCTGGGAATAAAATGATATTATGACACAACACAATGTTTACGTGTAGTTTGAAGTAGACGGGATTATCACTGCACCAAACCCCCGTTGGTTCTATTTTTGTGACAGTGTGCTGTACCTTTGGGATCCATTGGAGTGCTCAAGAAAGCAAAGTACACACTTATCCTGTGCTTCTGTGCAGGTTTATGGTACAGAGGAGACCACAGAGCGTCCAATGTGTGTGTGTGTTTGCATGCATTCAGGGGCACTTGGCTGTGGCATCCTGAAACACTACTTTGTCTCACTCACATGCATCCCTTTATCACCCCACATCTTTTTTTGTTTGTCATCACGTTCCCAGAGACTGGCACTTTGCACTGCGTATCATATTTGAACTTGGAGAGAAATGGGGCGGGTAGATGGATTGTCTCTCCTTTGCTGCCAAAAACAGTGAAAGGTTGTGTACAGTCGGTGGGAGTACATAGTTTCATGAGTTGAGGGCGTGCATGTGTATAGGTTACATGGAGGCGGATGTTTTTGCAGCAGCAGACCTTGAAGAAGAGCCCTCCTTAAGAGAGAGGGTCACAGCAACATGCTCTCTATCGGTCTGATGCTGACAGACGGTGTGCTTTCCTGTGTTTGTGGACAGGATGTGCATGTTGCTGAGAAGGTTACTCATCCTCCTCTTGTCTATTTACAGATAATAATAGGGAGAGGGTGAGGAGATGACCCAGTTTTTCTTCTCTTGCAATGCCTACAAAGTGTTCTTTTGTCTCACAGCCATTCTTGCACTGCCTCATTTAAAACACATCAGTAACCAGATTCCAGAGTCCTTGAGTTATCAGTTCTGATATAACTTTAGTAGGAAACTAGCCCGAAAAAAGATATTTTAAAGCCACAAAAAGCCAGCAGGGAAAGTAAGAAGAAATAAAACTTATATTGTCAAGATTTTGATTAGACAAGAGTTGCTGTTCACTTTATGGTCATTAAAATACAACATTCCTATGACTGATCTGTGACCAGGTTCCTGCCTTTTCTGGCATCAAGGTCACACAGCACCCAGTACCGATATCTGTCCCTGTGGATCGTGGATCTAAGGAGCAGCAAAACCATATTGTTGCTGGTGTAAACTGTGCAGGCTGAGCCCAGATCTGGCTCTAGGACATGGATGCAGTTTCACTTTTCTGGATATGGCATTACAACTCCTACTTTTTGTAAACCTGGAGACAACAAACCTATGATCCACCAGTGCTGTGCTTAAAGGAAATATAGAAACTAATTTGGGCATTTTAACAGCATATGGTTTAAAAAAAACCATAAACATCCAGATGTGATTTTGACCCTATTACTGTTGTCCAATGCAGTCTGACAAATGTACAAAGCCGTAATGTCCTTAGGGACTCAATAACTCATCACACACACACTCATCAGGATGCGAGATAGGAGCTCCTGTTGAGGTACTTCTTGGTAATGAAAGCATTTAGAATTCCACTGAGCACAATCCCATCCTTCACGTCGCACTTGAGGATCACCTTCAACAGTTCAATACATCCCCTTTGCAGGCCTTTGTGACATTATTGCATATAGCTCACAAAGAATGTGTAAAATACTACCATAGTCAATTCTTCAGCCTTCATGAAAACACACTGAGTGGCACTTTTAAAGCCACTTTACACCTGCTTAATCCTGGAATCATTACGTACTTATTGCTGCAGAGAGAACATGACTAAAATATGGAGAAATAAGACATTTTTTAGAGCACTCAGGATTTCTGCCCAGTGCATATGAGATAGTTGGGACAGAGACTTAGGAGGTGCATTACAAGTGCTTTTTATGGTGGCATCATGTCTTAATCTACGTTGTAATTTTTATCTTTACTTTTAGAAAAAGTTTGAAGTTTTGATAGCAAATGAAATCCAGTACTGAGTCCTGAAGGGAAGCATCACACAAACACTAAACCAATAACCAATTAGAAACTTTCCATAAAATTTAAAGTTGTTAAACTTTTAGAAATTTTGAATCGTGATGACTCTTATTATGGGAGCTTCTAGAGACAAAGCAGCAACGACAGTCAGCCCTGCCAGCTGTTTTATAGGACACCTGGAAAAAATTACTTGTAATTTGGAACAAAGTGTTTTCAAAGTAGACAACAAGGCTACTCTTGATCTGTTTTGGAGTCTAATAATAATAATAATAATAATAATAATAATAATAATGTCATCACCATTTGTTTCTATAAAATTAATATAGACCAGAGAACTTCTTGAATGTCTTATCAACTATCAGGCTGGTTCCTTTCTGTCGTATTTTTCAGCAACAGAATTTTTTTGTGTGTCCCTTATTTCAGAAATAAAAAGTTGCCACGGCATGTAAAAGCGTACCGCGTATGGCCACATCCATAAAATATGATTAGGTGGACCAGCGACCACTCTATTCAAGACAATGGGACGACTTGGTGGCTTCCACAAACCACAAACCCACTCACTTTGCATTTATTTGTTTATGAGAACACATTAATCTGTTGAAAGACATAATTACCCACTAATGACTTTATATTTCTAAGTAAAACATCATAATTTTCTATGAAATAAACTAAAAAGATGTCTGCCCTGTACCTTTAAAAAAAGAGAAAATATTACTATGACATTTGAATGACTTTAAATGAATGCTAATTTTGCATTGTGCATGCTGTTAATGTAAACAAGGATTACTTTGCAAACACATTTGTCATATCAACTCAACGTTGTGATAATGCAATGTGGTTACCTTCAAGCGTTATCTGCAACTTAAATGCATAGTGTTTCAAGGGCACTGAATGTCTGGAGCCCCGTGCTGTAGTAAAGGCAACAAAGTGTAAACTGCACTGTGACATTCATGAAGCCACATGACAGATTTAGTGTACCTTCACTTGCAAATTTGGGTTATTCGTCTTTTTTTTTTTTTTTTTACTATAGTAGTTAAATAATAATCAAATATTTTAGGTGAGTTTGTTCAGGTAGAGAATGTGTAAGTGGGTGTGTGTATGATAGAAAGGGCCCTATCCAACACACACACACACACACACACTTGCAGGTTATCCCATGAATCGAAGTGAAACATACTGGCTATTCAAGTATTCTGCTGTCTGGATCACAGCATTTGTATTCTGTACCTCTGGACCATGACTTTTCAGCATTTCATGCCATTCAGCCAGACTCTACTTCTTTTATGTTACTAAAGTAAGGACCCGTATAAAAGTTTAAGTTTCCATCCAGACATTTCACCTCATAAATGTATGAGTCGATTATTGACTTTAGCCTTCTGCGTGCCTTCTTTTCTTCATCCTACGTGCTCTGTTCTGTTCCTCCAGCAATTCTGATTCCAACTCACACAAAAACATACAGCAGATTTACACTCTTGCATGCAGCCAAATGCAAATACATGCAAACACGCACACGTAAGCGACCCAGGACCTGTGAGGACCTGCCACAGTTGAGGAATGCAACAAGAGGCTCAGCCAAGAGAAAAGCTATTCATTCAGAGCCCCTTCACGCCCCCTCCACCCACACACACATTAAAAACACACAAAAAAACAACTTTAGAGGAATGCATTTGCATGCTGCTGAGAGAGGTATCCACTGTGTGTACAAAAACACAACTTTGGGCTGCTCTCACACACAAACAGACACACAGTTTATGACTGATTGCTAATTGATTTGGCACTTTGCCAAGCCCTTAAAATGAAAAGCTGAAAGCCTCACTCAATACGGTCCATTCTCTCACTCTCCCTCCGCGAGAAGGCTGGGCACACGCGAGCGTTCACGTTTCTGTGGTTCGGTGCGTGCGCAAAATTTCAGCACAAACGCCGTCGGTCCGTTTGTGTGCGTTTTCAGGTATTAAGCTTACCACAAACACAGCCTTGTGCGTGTCTCAGTGGGAAAGCTGACCTGTGGAGAAGTGATTTTCTTTCATATGATGCAACCGTTACTATCTGCAGACGTTTGGTGTCCTGCTGAGAGTCTGACTTCTGAGCTCAATATCAGCTCGAACAGAAGGGGAACGCAAGGAGCTTTGGAGAGGTGGGAAAATTTACTGGCAAAGGATGTCGGCTAGTAAACAATGTTGAGAGTTATTACTTTGTTTCAGGTCACAACACGTCAACCTCGACGGAAACACGACGTGCCAGTCCAGCTGCGTGTGTGTGTGGAGGAGGAAGAGAGAAAGGATGCTACCTCATCACCTAGGATTCAAGTAAACAGTGTCAAGAGTTATGGCCGCATTAAGTGCAACACACAACTCAACTGCTCCATGAATCCTATCTGCTGAAATAGCAAATAAAACACTTTCTAAGTAAAGCTGATCTGCCACCAATACACTGTAATTTAGTACGCTGCTATTCATCCCAACTCTCTGTTAAAGTAAAACTTGGTTTTCGCTGCACTGCAGAGAAAATATTTACAGGTAGCGTTGTGCTCAGCTTGAGCCCGAAGCTGAAGGAAGAGACAATTCGAGTGCTCCATCATAACATCATAAATAAAAATGAGCTGAAAGCCAATATTATCAACAGATTTAATTTACATTTTAACATGGCAGTAGTGTTGATTGGTCCTCAGTGTTAATGAGCAACGAGTAAATCACAAAGGAAGACAATGAAAACAAACTCATCATGTCACTGTTGTTAAATACATGATTTATGTGCACAGTTTGAATTAAAAACTAAGCTTTTCATTGTGAGTGACAGTACAGTAGCTGCCGAAGGCATCGGAGTATTCTACGTATCAAAGCATCCTTTAGTCAAAGAGCATCTCGCTGTTTGGCATTATCAGTAAGTGCTGGATTATCGAGGTGTTACACTGTCTCTTTTACTATCAGTACAACAAAGATTTCTTCTACAGTGTAGTAAGATTACAATCACAGTGTGTGTGTGTGTGTGTGTGTGTGTGTGTGTGTGTGTGTGTGTGTGTGTGTAAATGACCACTGGGAATATTTCAGTGTGTTTATAATATAAAGAACGCAAACACAAAAATACCACTTTTAACAGCCATCATAGAAGTCACACTATTTCATGCTCACCCTGTGATCTCTGATTCACTTCTTTTATAATTCAAATATTTACTTTCTTCAGATGTTTAAAGGCACGAGAAAAGAGCCGGCAGCCAGCCTGTCAGAGACAGAGCGGCATACAGAGTTGATCTGCTGCGTGACATCTAAAAGAATAATGAGCTGCGTGGCGGCTACAGGACTAAAGCAGGATTGAAGACCACGATAGCCAACTTGTTTTGGTTTTTCTCACAAATAATACAGGAAGTTTGGGGCAATATTTCATCGAACTTTAAGTTTCAGTACAAATACTGAGAATCACTTGAATTATACATGGCAGGTATTTTCGTGATCGGGTTGCAGTTTGTAAGCAGTTTGTGATGTAGAGAGAGGTGTGCTGGGAAATTGTCAGCCCTGGAATTAAGACAAGAGGAGCAAAACAGCATCATCACGTCTGATCGGACTGGATACTCTTAGTGAGATTGTTTGAAATGATGAGAGGTATGCTGACTCAGTTTGTTAAAAAGATTTAAACGAGAAGGCTCACTCAGTCATCTAAACATAAGGCCACAGACCACAGCTTAGAGTGGAAAGAGGAAACAGCTACACTGGGTCTGTCCAAAGGTTCTAGAGCTGAATTATTAACACGTCATGTGTTTATTGTGTGAAAACATCAAGTTATTGTTTTACAGAGTTTGCTGTTATTAGTCGAGTTCTTAGCTGCAGTCTTTTTTAGACTAAATCCCCTTTACCACAAGGTCAATTTAGCAACTGGTAACATTTTCTCCAATGGCATTTTGTGGAAAAATATTTTTCCCTCAGAATAGGTTACAAATAAACTTTATTATGTAAGTTTAAGATTAACTGTTTTCAGGCAAAGTCTTTATTTTTCGACCAAGTTAGCCTCACTCTGTCCAAAGATAACAAAATCAACTTACTAGTAGAGTAAAGATTAAATGGGGAAGACAAAGCCAGACTAGCTGTTCATGCTGTGCTGGAATACTACTCGGAAAATTCACGCAAAAACGTCTCACATAAATCCAAGAAAACTGCTCAAATAATGGTATCCTACTTTCTAAGTTACTAACATGAAGAAGAGGATGGCAGACGAAAGTAAACATTTAGCTATTGGTAAGAAACCTGTGGTTAGTAGTGCAAATTCATGCATTAAACATTATCTTTGGGGTGTCATGCTGTTTCCACATTCTGACTTTTAGTTTGTATTTCTGAGCGAGGTCATCGGTGTGCGTTGGACAGCACTGTACTGAAAGGTACCAACCCACGGGCACACGTGAAGGGCTCAAAAAGGTAGAGAAGCTGAAAATGCGACTTCATAAGAGGTCACAGTTCTGGCAGAGCTTTTGGATTTAAATGCGTTAGTAGTTCCTAATAAAGTGGTCACAAGTGCTTATAGCAGTCATCTCTCAGCAAGAGCATCAACGAGCATATTTACCTAAAAGATTAAACTGCTGCTTTAAATTATCTGCTCAAAATAGATTTTCCAAAATACTCTACATGTCTTATTTAGCTGTAGTTCTGTCAGGGATAATTTAATCAAACGCATCCCTACGCCCTGAACGTAAAACTCCATGCATGTAACGCTAATTTAACTGTCAGATCGCTGTCAGCTCAAATACTGGGCCACCAGCTTATTGTGTGCGGTGTGTTAAAAGAATACAGTGACATTTTGAATCTGAATGAGCTGTCACACTGTGGGAATCCGAGCCGCGGACTGTGGCGACGAGCTCCGATGATGAATGCCGACACTGCTAGCGAGACATCTCAGGGGACGCTAATAAAGACAAATGCGCAAAGTTTTTCCACAGTGTGTCAAGTGTTTGTGGAAGAAAAATGACAAGTGAAATTCAGAATGTCCTTTCAGAGCTAATGGTAAATAAATTATTTAATTGGTAAATGGAAGGCAGTTTGCCTGGTATTTTGATTGAATGGAAAGTGAATTCATCCCAGGCCTGCTACACGTGGACAATCCTTCCAAATCCGAACGTGACAGCAATGCCCGATATTCTCCATTCATATGTCCTTATGTCATCCTTCTGTATCTAGGCCAGTCTGAACTTTCCTCCGTGTTTCTTCAATCAACATTTCAGTCCATGCAGCCATTACAGAGAGTCTGTTAAGAGCACATTTTCACTTTGATCTCTTTCTTAATTTTTTTTCTTAAACATAGAGTTGGAGAATCCATACAGAGTTTGATTTCCAGATAGAGGCTACATTCGCTCAGCTCGGGTTTCCGACTGAAGGAGTTTGAGGTGGTTTAACTGCATGCAGGCTGCAGATAGGCGGACAGACAAGGTGGAGTTCTGCTTTCAAAGAAGTTTACATGTCCCTTTGTGGAGACGCCATCAAGCTACCAGACCCAGGCGGGAGATCTTAGCAGAGAGGAAAGAGTGGAGGATGAAGACGATCGGCTTTGGACACGAGTGGAGGTCCAATTGCTATAAAAGGAAAAGAAAAACAACAGGATTAAAAATTAAAAAAACACAGCTGGGATACAAATGAGAAACAATAATCTATGTATATTTAAAAAAAAAACAAACAGAAAATGAATCTGCAAAGCACTTAAAACCAAAAGAAATACACTCAAAACTAACGGCACACAAATGGTTCTCCATGTGGCAAGTATTAGACGGCCCTAGCTGGTGCCAAGCACACACAAGTATGCACGCAAACACCACATCACTATGAACAAAGCTCTCTCATAGCCTGAATCAACAGTGGGTGATTTCACCGGTACTGTGACTCATATCCTGTTCCTGAGGTCAGTGGGGAGATTTAACCTAGAAATTCACACTAAAACTACTGTTTAGATGGTTAACTGTAACACTGCAGAAACAAGTGAAGCCAGAGCAGATCTACATGTAGCTACACTGTGATTGGACCATAAAGCTTGGCTTGATATTACACGCTTTCTGTATGTGCATCTGTGACAAAATTAGACAAGTTTAGATCCTGCTAAATTTACAGTACAGTACATACTGTGTGGGGGAAAAAAAGACTCCTAGCTATCTCCTTTTTCAAACGATGAGCTAATGAGCCATCAGCCACATCCGCAAATGTCTTGGGATTCCTCTTATAAAGCCTATAGCTGTGCTGGGATTTCAGAAACTCTATAGACACTAAAGCTGTTTCTGCTAAGGTAGCCAGCAGTGGGTTTTGATTCAAAGCGCCAAAGTCTTTGCTTATTTGCCATCAGCTTAAACGGAGCAGTCAAACGCTAGTGTATCCGACAGAAGTTCTACACAGAGCTGTATGTGGACTGTCACAGCAGATCGAGGCGTTGACATAAACATCCATTTCCAATTTCTAAATCCCATAAGCCTGGGGAGTCTATATTGTTTCACCATCACTCTCTCTTCCAGCATACAGTAAATGACACGGCTTTATGAGTGATGCAAAGGCAATGTTGTTGCTCTGGGTAAACACTTTGTTTAAGGGCTGGGCAAAGGTACTCTACAGGCACATTAATAGTCACATAAAATCCAACCTAAACCACACTGATGCACACATTGGCTTGGGTTTGCACTCGGCTGGTTTCTGGTCCTGAATTACTCGAGGTTGGCCTCTGAAACATGAGCCACCTGGACATCTAATCAGTGAACTGCTGGGTGGTGTAAAACAGATTAAAACTCTTACAGTAAGTGACGGGCTATTTTTAAGGAAAACTTGTCTGTAATTTACTTTCTGCTGTACCACATTCCTTCTTCCTGTTGCGCTTGCTTCTAGCGCAGTTTGTGTTCCTTAATTCCCAGAAGGCCTTGCGAAAGCCCCTGAGAGTGGGAATGAACCTATTCTGTTTACTGTGAGGTGTGTGTAACCACACCCATTTAAGCCTGATGCTTTTTACTCACCAGTATTTCTAAACGCTGACATAATTAAACTTAAACACTTTTTAGGACATAGTGTCTTTTAAAATGTGAATTACTGGAAAATCAAGCTGTAACTGAACCCTTTGGATTCAAGGAATCCACGGCAACTTCCTCGGGAAGATCCGAGTCAGCATTTTGGCCCGTGCCTTACCCACCTGTCAATAAAACAAGGTTTTTACAAATCTCTTCACTAAAATAAACACCACCTCTGAATCATGGTTAGAAATGTAACAGGTATGGTTTATAGTCAGGAAAATGTAAGAAATTATGTGTCATAATGTGTGTTTGTTTAAAGTTGATTTTGAACAGGCCTGGGAAACATCTGCAGAAACATCTGGGCTACTAAAGTAACTCCTCCTTTCAGTGACACTTTGTGGCTGCTGCACGTTTGACTTTCACAGCCTTAGAAACTCAAACTCATTCTTTTTATTAGATTGTGCTGACTCCAAGAACAAGACTTTATAGAAGTGCCGTTATGATGTCTTTCAATTAAACTATGGTGTAGCTGAAAAACAAACAAAAAACCCTCACAAAAAACACAATCACTGCTATCAGTGTTCACCTCTTAGAAGAAACCGATTCTTATGCATGAACATATTTTGTTACAGTTTGTGTGTCTAAATGTGAAGTTAAAAATACAAAAAATGAACCAAAGGAAAA